CCATCCTCAGAGAAATTGATTTCATTCCGGGTATAACAGACTACTGTACTACAATTACAATTGTGGACAGAAATCTTGAATTATTAATTTCTTCTAGGGAGACATGGAAAAACTACTCTGTAAAGAGTGATAATCGCCTGAACTTCTTTACAGACAGCTCAAAGTTAGATGGACAAATAGGAGGATAAGTATACTGCCCTGAACTAGATCTCAGTACAAGTTTCAGGCTATCGGATCACTGCAGCGTTTTTCAAGCTGAAGTATCTGCTATATTGGAAGTTTTAGATTGGCTGGATCACAATGTTAAATTATAAACATATTAATTAAACATCCGTTAAATTTATAAACATTTTTACTGACAGCCAGGCAGCTATAAAATCCTTAAACTCGTCGACCTTCAACTCGAGGTTAGTACTGAATTGTCTTACATCACTTATGGTGATGGCTGAATATTTTCGGATACAAATTATTTGGGTCTCTGGACATAGGGACATCCAAGGTAACTGTATAACAGATGAATTAGCAAGACATGGTACGACAGCACAAATTCTTCTGGGAAAAGAAAGTGTGGGTATACCAGTTGCTTCTTGTCGGCACCGAATAAAATTATGGACATACCAAATGTTTGAAAGAAGATGGTCAACAGTAACCAACTGCATAAAAACCAAAGAATTTTGTCCAAAAATAAGTAAGAAAAGATCGGGGGAATAAATCAACCTATCCCGAACAAATTTATCCAGGATAGTGGGAATTATTACGGGACACTGCCCGTTGGGAGGACATGCCGTGAGGCTCAACATCAGGACCTCCTTACATTGCAGGCATTGCATGGAGGATGATGAAGAGGAATCACCAACACACCTTCTGCTACAGTGTCCTGCCTTCGCAATACATAGACTATCCTACTTAGGGTCGCACTTTTTCTATTCACTAAGAGAGCTAGATTCTATTTCCATAGCTCGTGTTAATGGCTTTGTAGCCAATATCAAGTGGTTATAGGGACAGGTGTCAAATTCTTTAGGGTATCACAATGGACCTCATGGTCTAAGTGAATCTTCGAACGGCCCCAGTAACCTAACCTACCTTAATGTAGTAATACATTTACGATGCATTAAAGGTAAGCCGGTAAATCTGATCTTTTGAGACGAGATATATTTCTTGTTCTGTTAAGATATTGAGAGAGTGAATTTGGATGTACTATTATTTTAGTGTCATATTTTTGCCGTAAGAGGGCTACTTCTTCTTTAACTGGAGACATTTGAAAGTCCATATGTATGATTTCTGGCTCGCTGGCTTTACGTCAGAGTTGAGCCCAGTAAGTCCATATGGGCTTAATCATAGTTTTATATAACAGTACTTTATGAGCAAGCTGTAATCTTGAACTTTTATTGAGTAACCAACACAACTTAAGGAGTTTGATTTGTATTTTTGTTGCGGCTATATGTTGTCTCCATGTCAATCTTCGGTCGAAATTAATACCAAGATATGTAACGCTTTGGGATGCTGGTATAATGACGATATAAAGAGTTAAGGGTGGACAAGTATCTTTTCTAAGTGTAAAGGTTATATGTGTATTTTTCTGCTCATTTACGCGAGTACACCAGTTGGTTAGCCAGTTTTGGACGTCCTTGAGATGAGCCTGTAGTTCCTGGGAAGCGGTGGAAAAATTTTTATGAACGCTGAGAAGTGCAGTATCATCTGCAAACGTAGATGTTGTAATTTTTTGAGTAGACGACAAATCCGAAGTAAATATAATGTATAAGTCGGTCCAAGAACGCTGCCCTGCGAGATTTCATAATTCACATTAAACTCATCTTTGTTTGTATCCTTGAATTTTACCTTGTATTTAGTTATAGTTAATTATGAAATTAATAGTTTATAAAAAGGAGTTGGTAAAATTTGCCTAATCTTAAAGGTTATACCATCGTGTCATACTTTGTCAAAGGCCTGTGCAATGTCGAGAAATTAGGCTGAGCAGTATTTTCCTTCTTCAAAGGCCTTTCTAATTTCGTTTTACAATTGGTAAACTTGCTCAATTGTGCTGTGTTTATGCCATACTTTACGAAGCCTTGTAAAATCCCCAAGGGCTTTCTTTATTCTACTTATTACATCTTGTGCCGTACCTCCATTTTTAGACAAAATCATCTCCAGATACTGAAATTCATATACGTTCAATGGTCTCCGTTTCTTATCACAAAGGTTTACCAATTCGAGTGTTTATTCTGACTTCTTTTGATTTCTGTACATTGATTTTTAGTCTGTATGTGAGCATAGTCCAAACACTCTAGCCTTGTATTCGGTAACAGTGGATTTCATACAATACCTGGCACTTTTTCTTTATTTGCTGTCTTGGTAACTGCGTCAAGCACACAGCATTGTGGAAGAGCTAAGACAGTTTATTGTCATGTAAAACTGAGTACTTAAATGGATCGTAGCTTTTTGCAATTACGGAGACTATTTTAGCCAGGACACCAATATTTTTCAGCTCTTGCCATATTCAATTTCATTTAATGAGTGAAACATCTTTTCAAAATCGATAAAAAGCGGATAAAGCGGTGATATGGTCAACACAGGATCTTTCACTTCGAAAATCCGCTTGCTTTGGTTGTAGTAGTACAACAACTTTTATCACTCTTTCCAGTATAACTTTCATAAATATTTTCATAACAGCATTTAAAACCGTAATGCCGCGCCAATTATTACAGTCACTAAGGAATTCTGTTCTACCATTATCTAGGCTTGTGCTGAGATAAAGTCGTCTTTGGTATTATTTGATGCTCCAGCTATGGTTTTCATGCAGGTTTCATTAATAGTTGTTTTTGTTTTGTTCCAGCAACGTTGGGAATTTAGATTGTCAGTAGAAATAGCAAGCTTTTCAGAGGTGGAACATGAAAAATTGTACTTTATATTTGGTGCTTTTACCAAAAAACAATTTTCCTCGGCGGTATATCTAAACATCGCAAAGGCTTTTGACAGCGTTTGGCATGGGTGTCTCCTAACCAAATTATACCAGTTACACCCAACAAACTTTTATCTCACACTAAGATCGTAGATAACGCCTCTAATGTTCTGACATCATTGGCTAGAGTTTGTTCAGTAGAGAAATTTTATATAACGCCTCTGATGTTCTGACATCGTTGGCTAGAGCTTGTACAGTAGAGTAATTTTATAACGCCTCTGATGTTCTGACATCATTGGCTAGAGTCCAGTGAATAGAGTAATGTTATGTAACGCCCCTGATGTTCTGACATCGTTGGCTAGAAGCTATTTAGTGGAAATTTGTATAACTTCTGTAGCATAATAATTAGCATAAGTTATTTGGAAGCTCTCTTGAGTCAATAAAATTTTATAATAAAAACAGTCATTTTAACACCACAAACAGCGTCTTTGCAAAGTTATTGCAACGACCCGGACTGCGACTGAGTGATACCTCAGCAAAATTAAAACGACGACTCCGTGTCGTTAGAGGCTGATATCCCGGAACCTTCTGATTCTCAAAGTTTGATAGAAACTTTCGCAGACGATACAGCACTAATTGCAGCTATTAAAAATTTTAACAAATCCACAGACAACTTAAACCCAACTCTGGAATGGTTAGACAAATGGAGACTTCAAATAAACACAAGCAAAACAGTATATGTCATCTACACAAATAAAAAATATGATCTCTAACGTATAAAAATTAACAATGACGAAATCTTCATACACAGAAAAGTAAATTACCTTGGTCACTATCACTATAGATAGCAGATTAACATGAAAAGATCATATCAAAGCTAAAAGTAATTCAATTAAACGTCGCTTTGGACAATTGTACTGCCTACTCTGCTCAAAATCAAGGCTAACAGTGGAAAACAAACATCTAGTATATAAAACGGTAATAGCTCCAATTTGGAAATATAGAGCCGAAATATGGGCATAGCATGCAAATCCAACACACAAATACTGAAAAGACTACAACAAAAAATACTTAAGACTATCATCAACGGCGACTGGTACATCTCAAACTATGACATTCATCGTGACGTTTTCCGAAAAAATAGTAAAAACCACACAGATAGATTACTTTCCCATTCTAAACCAGCAATCAGATAGCTGCCAAATGACGAAGCTACATATAATAGACGATTGAAACGATTGAATTATCGATATAATAATCTATAGCTAACTAATATGTTCACAGCACAATCCTAGTTTATTAATTGACTCATCTATTTCTACCGAAATTTAATTATCTTATATTATTTAATTAAAAGAAGTTTTTACTATTTATTTTTAATTGTTCATTTGTTCATACATGTAATTCTTAATATTGATTTAAATTTTTATTTTAATTTCCACTATGTAAGAATATATACTAGATGCCAAATCTTGGCAGTTATATAAATAAAGGCAAGATTTATAAAAAAAAATATTTAATTCTGCTACAGCTACAGTAGTAATTAGTGCTAATTAGTGATGATATCGGCAACTTGTTTATTTCTTACATCGACTAAATAGTTACTCCATTTTGCGTAACACAAATATAATCCTTGATTTTGTGTTCTCATATCCATTATCAATATTAAACAATAAGTATTAAAGTAATAATTCGCAAAACACTAAATTTATCTACGCTGCTCTGACATAATTATTGGGGAAAATTGAAAAATACTTTCTTCCGTACAATGATCAACAAAAAAAACTAATAATGCATAATTGCACTTTTTGTTGGACAGTGATTTATTTTGTAGAGTATATTTATATTTAAAACAAACATGCAATTTAGCTTAAATACTGCATAACAGGTGTGTCATTGTTGCATTTACAATTACTTGATTAAACAAATCATGCCAGAAGTTGCGGTGATATTGCAGCATCATTGCATTTTCAAACAAACTAGACAACTCTTACATTTAAACAGAGAAAATAACAACAACTGGCATGGTATAAATGATGCTAAATGGATTGGAGAATCTATTAATATTCATACATATTCTTCATTCAAGTTATGAACTTACCCTATAACTACGATGAAAAAATCCAGCAAGTTCCATCCATTTCGTAGATAAGCTCCCGGATGTAACATAAACCCATAAGCAATTATTTTCATTACACATTCTGCCGTAAATATCACCAAAAAAACATATTCGATTTTTTCCTTTGGAGATTATGCAATTAAAGAAAATGATTATAAATTAATAAAACTCTGAAAATTTTAAACATATAATAAAGATTGAAATAATATGATCTAATAAAGGATTTTAGCTTGTATTGAAAGATATCTAATTTTTGAAAGCCAACTTTATGAAATAATACTATGTTAGATACTAAAAATTTATTCATCTAATCTTATCGCTAAATACCTGAACACCAGCAGGCTGATTCCACTAATCGCTATCGCTAAAACTCCAATCTCTTCGCTAAAATTCTTAAATATGCGATTCGTTTATTTTAGGAGAATAAGCGATCGTGCGATTCTGCTAACACAATCTCTTCGCTAAAACTCTCAGGCGATGTGGATAATGCTAATTGAATGTGGATAATGGTGTGGATAATGGATTGAAATGTCAAAATCTGTGAACTAAAACAAACACTAAAGTACAAAACATAGTGTACTGTTTGTCATCTTTGTTAAAAAACACTAAACGAACAGTACATTAAAAAAGTCCAAAACAATTCAACAATTTTTAGAGTTTGTGTACTTTTCACGAAGGTAGTGCTCATTATAACGATCTTTTCACGAAGGTAGTGCTCATTTTAGTTATCTTTTGCCGAAGGTAGTGTACTTTTTAGTGATCATTTTCCTAAGGTAGTGGCTTTTTTAGCGTTTGTCGAACAAAACGATTTGGAAACGTTTGTAATGTGCATTGTTGTTGGTTCGTTTGCATACGAAGAGGAAAAAATTTTGTTTGCATTTGTATTGCATGTATTTTGTTTGTGTATTATTGATAAAGATATTGCGTATGCATTTATTGATGCAAATTTAATATTAGGGGATGAATTACATATATTTAATATTTTATTGCGGTTGAATGACTCGTATTATATTAAAAAAACGTATATTAAAAAAACAAAATTTTAAAATTGTTTATATAATGCAGTAAAAAATTAAAAAAATATTTCAAGAATTTCTGAATATCATATATAATATTTAAATTATTGCATAGAAATATAAAGATTTTATTGTAACAATACGTTTATTGTAATATACATATATTTACTTATTTAACAACTTAACAATTTTAAAATTTTGTTTTTTTGCCTTTTATTGGCATTATAAATATAATACGAATCATTCAACCACAATAAAATATTAAATATATGTAATTTATCCCCTAATATTAAATTTGCATCAATAAATGCATACGCAATATCTTTATTTAAAAACACAAACAAAATACATGCAATACAAATGCAAACAAAATTTTTTCTTCTTCTTAAGCAAACGAAGCAACAACAATGCACATTAAAAACGTTTCCGAATCGTTTTGTTCGACAAACGCTAAAAAACCACTACCTTAAGAAAATGATCACTAAAAAGACCACTACCTTCGGCAAAAGATAACTAAAATGAGCACTACCTTCGTGAAAAGATCGTTATAATGAGCACTACTTTCGTGAAAAGTACACAAACTCTAAAAGTAAAAAACTCTAAAAACTCTAAAAATAAAAACAAAATTTGTAAACAAATATCAGCTGTTGGAATTATAATTTAAATTTGAAATTTAAAAGCAGATACTGCAGCAAAATAGTATTTAGCCATTGTAAAATTTAAATTACAATTAAATTAACATAACATTGGTGTGTGGATTAATTAAATAATGGACTATTTAATAAGAAAGAGATTTCTTTTTCCTGGTGATATAAGGGATTCACGGAATCATTTACATTGCAAAAGAAAATGTTTGCGAAATTCTAAAGACTCTCGAAATATTTGCATTTCATTTGCAAGTCATTTATGTTTGGTACAATTTCAAAAAATAAAAATAAAATATGAAAAATAAAATACATTTGTTTACATTTGCTTAATACCAAACACACTCTCACCACATTACTGCCACAAAATTTTTATAATATTAATAATTATTTTTTTTACATTTTAACTTTAAATGCAAGTTTATTTCTATCACAATAAATTAAATAATAAATAAATATCATATCATAATAAATACGTACAAAATAATTGCTCAATGTGTTTAAAAAATAATATTTTCACTTTTAGCGACAGTAAAAACCTAACCGCCAAAAACAATCAAACTAGGAGAAATTTTAGTCGTTTTTAACGATATTTAGCGATTGTCAATTTAGCAAATTACAAAATTTGGAGATTTAGCGATTTATCCGGAGAAAACAGCTGTTTTTAAAAGTTAAGAAAATTAGCAAATAGAAATTAAGCGTAACGAGTTAGCAGAATCGCAAAAGTCGCTCAAATTAATTTAAAGAATTTCGGTGATGGAGTTTTAGCGATAGCGATTAGTGAAATCGGCCTGCAGGATTTGTTTTCACTTCCGCAACAGACTTTGTTGATGCGACCATAGGAAGCCTAGTATTAAAATAATATATTCTTACCCACATTAACGGCTTGCAGACTGTTTTCAAAATTTTTATCTTTAGTATGTAAATTTGCCACTTTTATTATTTCGATTTCATATTTTATTCTCTGCCTGATAGAATTAGTTTTCAATATTTAGATCACTATAAAAAATCTGTGACTATGAGTGGTAGTGGTCGTTTAAGTTGCTTATTATTCATCTATGAAAAATGGTATTAATGCAAGGTGATAAGAAATCCATTTTATAATACGCATGCTCGAATTATGTACGTTTATGTAGCGATAGGTAATTTTTATCTATAATAATCTATACGATAATTTTTACCTTCATTTTTCAGTACACTGCAGGCCGATTCCACTAATCGCTATCGCTAAAACTCCATCACCGAAATTCTTTAAATTTCTTTAGAGACTTTTGCGATTCTGCTAAATCGTTACGCTTAATTTCTATTTGCTAATTTTCTTAACTTTTAAAAACAGCTGTTTTCTCCGGATAAATCGCTAAATCTCCAAATTTTGTAGTTTGCTAAATTGACAATCGCTAAATATCGTTAAAAACGACTAAAATTTCTCCTAGTTTGATTGTTTTTGGCGGTTAGGTTTTTATTGTCGCTAAAAGTGAAAATATTATTTTTTAAACACATTGAGCAATTATTTTGTACGTATTTATTATGATATGATATTTATTTATTATTTAATTTATTGTGATAGAAATAAACTTGCATTTAAAGTTAAAATGTAAAAAAAATAATTATTAATATTACAAAAATTTTGTGGCAGTAATGTGGTGAGAGTGTGTTTGGTATTAAGCAAATGTAAACAAATGTATTTTATTTTTCATATTTCATTTTTATTTTTTGAAATTGTACCAAACATAAATGACTTGCACATGAAATGCAAATATTTCGAGAGTCTTTAGAATTTCGCAAACATTTTCTTTTGCAATGTAAATGATTCCGTGAATCCCTCATATCACCAGGAAAAAGAAATCTCTTTCTTATTAAATAGTCCATTATTTAATTAATCCACACACTGATGTTATGTTAATTTAATTGTAATTTAAATTTTACAATGGCTAAATACTATTTTGCTGCAGTATCTGCTTTTAAATTTCAAATTTAAATTATAATTCCAACAGCTGATATTTGTTTACAAATTTTGTTTTTATTTTGACATTTCAATGTATTTAAGCAGTATCCACATCGTCTGAGATGTGCAGAATCGCCTGATCGCTTATTCTCCTAAAATAAACGAATCGCATATTTAAGAATTTTAGCGAAGAGGTTGGAGTTTTAGCGATAGCGATTAGTGAAATCGGCATGCTGGCGCTTCTGATCACAAAATGGATGTAAATTGGCGTTTACCAATGTTCTAGAATCCATTGACGGTTTTGTATATTTATCGTCGAAACGTCGTCGACAGAGTTCTTCTGGTTCCATTGTTTTTAATCGCTTTTGTTTTGTTAATTTTATGTATGTGCTTTATTTATAGCCCATTCTATATCATGTTAATCAACTTCCTCTATTTTTACATTTATATCCTCTTTAGTATCTAACTCCTCATCCGAATAATGTCTACATTTACGACTACCAAAATTTCGCTCTATAGGTTCCTCAGTTAATGGTACAAAATCTTCCATTTTTAATTTCTGTTGCAGTTTTTTAACTTTTTTTTCGACTTTTTGAATTTTGCGATTTCAGTTCCAAAGAATGTATTTAATGCTAAAGTAATTCTAGTATCATCAAAAGTTTGCAAACGTTTTTCAGATAACTTTGTTTCAATGTCCAATAATTTTCTATGATGCTCTTGCTCCTGTGCTAGATTTTCGCTGATTCCATTCATGCCTATAGCGAAACATTCTCAGAATTCATTTATCACCGCTAACATCTTTCCTTTAGAGTCTGAATTTTTGTTTTACGCATGAAAGCTGACGGTTTCTGGAATTTTGCTGTTCATGTTTAAGGTGTACCTTATTGCAGTCTACACAAGGAGGGGGTTTTGGGGTCTTGCACAATTTACCGACACGTGAGCTGACTCACCACAATTATACCACATAATAGTCTTCGCCTTATTGAACGACTATAGATTTTGTTTGCTTTCAATCACATCGCTTAAACAATTATCGTTTATCTTAACCCATTAAGTAGCAGGCAATTTCAGACTTGGAATTTTATGGTGATATTTCCATAGTAAATAGTAAAATAAAACAAGTTAAATTTAAGTAAACGAGAAGAACTTAATGTTTACTTGAAAGATAACTCTCACTTTATCTCTACCTAAGAAAGATAAAATATTTTTTGAATATTAAAAAATATTCAAAACTGGCCGTGGTCCAAAATGGGTTAATACAATTTTGTAGAAAGTTCTCAGATGCTTCACGCATTTCTTTAACCGTTACGAATTAAAGAAATGCGTGAATGTTATTGGAGCAATCGCCATTTATAGTTCTCAATGTTTCATTCCCTCTTGGGCGTATTTTGTGATAGCCATCTCACCACTTTTTAAGACACCCACTTTTTTTTTCTTTTCAAATATCACTTTTGTGTCTCGAATTTTTATACTTGTCATAGCCATTTTGTTTAGGAATATTGCCTCTACATCACTTT